GACAAGGTTGTCCTTAATTATCCTTTTTATTTCATATAGTCTTGGAAGTCTTAGCCAAGGCTATAAGACATCAAGAAGATATTAAAATTAAAGGCATCCAAATTAGCGAAACAGCAGCAAAACTCTAGATGACACGATCTTTTCAAAACCCCAAAGACTCAATTAAAAAGTTGCTGCAATGAATTGCAAAATTTAGCAACACTGCAGGCTATAAGCTCAACAGACAAAAATCCATTGGGTTCTTGTATATTAAAGACCAAAACTCCAAATTCACTGAAGGACAGGGTAGAACTGTCCTCGTGGGTCAAGACAGTAACTCTTTACAGGAGAAGAAAGCCTCATCTTTCTGCTGAGTAGGGCTGGTGGTTTTGAATTTCTGATCTTGCAGTGAGCAGCAGCCCAAGTCACAAACCACTATGCCACTGATAGTGACCCAGAAAGTCCAGTCTTAGCTGTACAGAAGAAACGGCCCGAACTGAAAACATATACTCAGGGCAGCTAAAAAGGTGAAAACAGCCCAACGGCCACCCAGTAAATGACAATGAAGTGCTGATCCATGCCACAACATGGGGGAGCCTTGACACCTTGCTCTAAGCGAGAGGAGCCAGACAGCGGTCACATGATCCCATGTAGAGGAACTGTCTAGGCCTGGCAAATCCATAGAAGCAGAAAGCAACTAGGGCCGTGTGAAAAGAGTGACTGCACAACATAGCAGCGAATGTACTAAATGCCACTAAATTGTATGCTTTCATAAAGGTCGGGTATCACCTCAACACACACACACACACACACACACACACACACCCAACCACACCACCACCCCCAACCTGCAGCTAGGAACACACTTCTCCTGAGCACCACACACAGGACTGACTCATTTTAGATCACGGCAGCTAGCGGTCACTTCTATAGCTGGTCCCTTCTGTAAAGTGGGGACCAGCCATCCCTGCTGTCTAACGCTAAGAACCGAGTCTGGAGTGTGGCTTTTCAGAACCTCTACTGGCCTCAGTCTCACCGGTGAGCTGGTGGCGCTTCCTTCGGCAGGACTGCTTTCCCACTGCTGGCCTTTCACAGACAGACTGCCAGCAGCTCTCCTTTTAGCTTGCGGGAGCTCAGGGAAAGGGGGCAGCCAGAGTCAACCACGACGTCCAGAAGGAAAAGTGGACGGTTAAAGGTGAAAAATAACATCGTCTCAAAATAAGCTGTGATTCTAGAGACACAAAGCAAAGGCGCGCACAGGAGAAAGTGCACAGACGTTTCTAGCAAAGGTCCCCTGCCACCTTTCTGTACGACATTCTTCTCTACAAGCAGAACTTAGTCATATCCGCTGAGCTCTTCTAACATAACTTCAAAAACCCCTATTTTGTGGTGATAAAAGATTACAAGGGACAGGCTGCAGATGCCCTGGGAGCCCTTAGCGCCTAGACAATACGAAGACTTTGGGAGTGCCATGATGCTCAGAAACGGTTCGGGCATTTGGGAATTATAATTTTAATACAAAAACTGATGGAATGAATGTTATTATTAGCCTTTAATTCTCGGTCTATTTCAATTCAGACACAATGATTCTGATAATTTCCCTTACAACACGTCTCACGTTGGATGAGGAAATGTCAAAAAGTTTGGGGGACAATTCCATTCCCTTTGCCTCGAGCTTTTTGGTGTCCCCCGTATGTGTGCTCCTCGTGTGCTGGCGTCTGCCCCGCCCTGCGCACCTCCAGCAGGGCGAACAGGCAGCTCCGCAGCGAGGATCACGCCTCATTCTCCACTGGGGGTCACCAGCACCTTCTGCGCACACCACCCGCTGATCCCCACTTAGACTAAGCCTATTTCTCTCCTCCAACTACGATTTCCTTGTACTGAAGCCTTTTCTGCTCACCAGGAAATGTGTGGGGTTTCTTCTTAAATCCACACGGCACACAAGTCTTTGGTTTGACTTGTGTTCTCCTGTGTATGCCAGAGCATGGCACCCTGAGGCAGAGTCGCACCGTCCGCTCCCTTTGAGTCATGCTCCCTGCAGGGGCAGAGCCACCAAGAACTCTCCCAGAACACCTTCAAGGAAAGGGGCGGGGTGCCCGGAAAGAATACATATGCGTGCTTCAAGGAAGACAGAAAGATGAAAACACCCAAAGTAGGCATTAACGAGTTAAACTACTATTAGAACTTTGGGAAGAAAAGACTACCAAGCAAATGCATACATTTCCAAAGAAGGATTCCATGTCTTAATCCACTGAAAACGACAAAAAGGTTTAAAGAAAGAAAAGAGGTGATCAGGATTTAAATGTGAAAGTTTTAAAATGATGACCAGCTGCATTTTTTTTTTAAAGTATCTTTTCATTGAACCAATTTCAAGTCATTTCTTTCTTTTTTTTTTTCTTTTTCTTTTTATTTATTTATTTATTTTTAAAGCATTTTATTAGGGGCTCATACAACTGTTATCCCAATCCATACACACATCAATTGTGTAAAGCGTATTTGTACATCATTTCTCAAAACATTTTCTCTCCATTTAAACCCCCGACATTAGGTCCTCATTTTTCCCCTCCCTCCCCACTCCCCCCTCCCACATGAGCCCTTGATAGTTTATAAATGGGTATTTTGTCATATCTTGCCCTGTCCGACTTCTCCCTTCATCCACTTTTTGGTTGTCTGTCCCCCAGGGAGGAGGTCACACACAGTTCCATGTAATTGGTTCCCTCTTTCCTACCCATTCTCCCTTTACCCTCCCTGTTTTGCCACTCACACCACTGGTCCTATAGGGCTCATCCATCCTGGATTCCCTGTATTTTCAGTTCCTATCTGTACCAGTGTACCTCCTCTGGTCTAGCCAGTCTTGCAAGATAGAATTCGAGTCATGGTAGTGGGAGGGGGAGGACCAGCTGCATTTTTTAAAGATGGCTTGTTATATCTAAGTACAGCCCCATCAATAACAGGCTTTAGCAAAAAATAATGCAATCTAAAACGATGCTTGCACTTTGTCAGCTCAATTCTTTGACCTGTTAAGCTGAAAGAAAAAAAAAAGCCCTATGGAAAAAAGTCTCTCTTGCTACAGAAGTGGGTGGGGACAGGGCAAGCAAGGAACTGTGTGTGGCTAAGGAGTTGACAGTGTTACTGTGTCTTCACGGGGGACATCCGTGGCGAGTTTTGCCTTCATCATGCAACAGAGTTAGGCCCAACGACCAGTGGCTTGCGGAATGTGAAGGGACACCTGTAGACCATTCATGTTGTCAGCAGGCAGGGACAAAGCTACCTTTCACTACGGGCGTTTTCATCCAGCCGCGTGCGTTTGAAGACCCTGCACAATTAGCTCCATTCCTACAACAAAGGGATTTATTTGTTCCTGTGGCTGAAGAGTGAACAGGGCCAGAACACCTGTGATTCAGAATCCGTATTTTCCAGTGGCGGGAGCTTCCTGTTCGCTTCGTAGCAACAGCATTCTAACAGGAATGGGGGGTGAGGGGTGCCTGGAAAACTAGACGACAGCCCCAAATCAGGTTCCTTTCTCTGCTAAGACGTCTGTGGCATTGACAGACAGCAGGCTCCCCAGAAGCCAGATGCTTCCTCAAGAAATGTACAGAGCAAAGTGTAACTGTGGGGAGGAGACACAGAGCAGAGTTAACCTGCTCTATCAACCCCATCTCCTTCTCAAAGAGTGTCCTCTACGGTAGCTTGCCAGGTCCCACCCAACAACAGCTGCTCACGATAATCAATGTCTGACAGATCAGAGAAAGCCCTTAATGTGTCGCCAAGGGGCAGTTCAACAGATGGCATGGTGACTTACAACCAGAATCATTAATTACACTCTCTTATTAGTCCCGGGGCACAGTGCTGAAAATGCTTCCTCAGTGAAAGATGAACACTTCAGATAAATGACCGTCTGGTACTGCCAGTGAAAGTCCCTTTAGGATTGCTGGTCAGTGCCGATTCTGAAATCTGAGACATACTATTTTTACAGCCGTTTCCCATCTTCCTTAAGATTGTGAGCAACGTGGCATTCTCACCACCACCATCCATCAAGGTTCTCACAATCACTGCAGGTGAGGGGATGGGGAAAGGGCCCATCACTCACCTGCCCTCTCAAGTCAGATGGCTGTGTGGAAGGCAAACACACTCATCTCAGTCACCAGGCTGAAGGCGCCATCTCCCCTCCCTCTGTGCCTAAGAACACGGGCTTCCTAGGTGAGCTGTGGGTGAGTGGGTGTGTGTGTGGGGGGGGGGTGAGGCACAATGACCCACACGGCATTTCCTTCACCTGGGACTGCAGAGGTTTTCTTGTAAGCAACTCCCCAACCCACAGCCACCCTTCCTTCAAAAAGCCTCTTGCTGCCAACTCGTTCCCAGGCCGGTTCCATCAGAAGGGACTCCCGGAAAGGCAGGCTGGGCAGCTCGGGGTGAGCAAGGTTTCCCAGTTGCCCGAGGGATGCAGCGCCGAGGGGAGACCGCCATGTACAAACAAGTGCATCATGAGGAAGCCTGGGGAGCCCTTTCCAAGAAGACTCAGTCTTTACTTGGGGTAAAAGTGTGCTGGAGAACAGGGCTGCCCACACATTACTGTGAGATTTTACAACTCGCCAGGGAGTTGCCTACGTACTGAACTCAGCATGTATACAAGTAAATCTCAATATGACCCCCAAAAGAAATTTACAAGCAGGTCTTAAACATTCCCAAATAACACTCTCTGGTTCCACTCACCACCTGTTCTTTTTGTGCCTCGCTTTGTAAATTAAAAAAAAAACTAAGTTTAAACCGAAGCCACCATGAAGACCCTAAATGCTCCCACTAAAAGGTCATGGTCTGTGTCCTGCTGCTTGAGTTGTTCTTTTCTGGACACATAAAGATGTAACTTCAACTTTCAACTAGGTGGAAACAATTATGGAATCTGCGAGGTGTTCCCAGTTCATGAATTTTCCACAAGACAAAAATGTAGTAATGAAGGCATTCTAAAAACCTCCTGGAGGGGGCTGCTGAGAGGAGAAGCAGGCGATCTGGGTCTTACTCACTTCTAGTTTTTTCTCCTTTTCTGAGAGCACGTCTTTCTGGTTCTGGGTATACTCCACCAGCATCCGAGCCAGCTGGCGCCGGTCTTCCAGCTCTGCTGCCAGGCGCCCGTTATACTCTGCTAGTAACAGACACGCTTCATCCACTGTTTTTGAAAGACGTTCAGCTGCCTCTTTGTCTAAGTAAACATGGACCAAAATAAAGAGAGACAATATACAAATCACAGAGGCACAATGGCAAACGTTTCCAGGGCAGGTTAACAGTTTCTCTCCCAACGTCCAGAGTCCGAGCACAAGCCAGAACCTTGGAACAAACAATGGACTGGCAGACTGAGAAATCCAAAAGCATTCGCTCCTGTCAAAAAGGCAGGACATTTCTGAATGGCTCAAGTGAGGTCATTGTCCAGGGAGAGGGATCTGGCAAAGAACCTCACACGGCTATTCTACAAAAGTGCCACAAATAAGACGGGTGTGGGGGACACGGAAAGCATGCTTAAATGCTTGTTCCTGCCTTGCAGATTTCAAAGGTGCTTTCATGGGCTTTTGGGCCTTAAGTGGGTTTTGCATGTTCCTCTGAAGGAGAAGCAGCACTGCTCATCTCACGTGGGTGAAGACGAGGACGAAGAAAACGGACGGGTCCCTATCACATGGTTAGCTGAGAAGGCGGGACTCAAAAGCAGGTCTCTACAATGGGCCTCCAGCTCTCACACTATGAGCCCCGAGAGCCTGGGTCGGATGAGCTCACTCCCTGCACGCCTGGAAATACAGGGGCTGATAAAGACAGCTGCTTCCAAGTGCTTCTGAACATGACCTAAAGACAAATCACACTTTCACACTTAGAGCAAGAGTAAGTTAAGAAGTACTGATACAACATCACAGGCAGTTTTAGTTAAAAAAAAAAAAAGAAAGACAAATGTGAAGGTATTGTTCATACCTGCACATACCCTCCATCCAGGTCTGAGGTCCAGGCACTTCTGAAGGCAGTGCTTGCACCGCTCTCTGCCCCCAAACTTGTCCAAACTTTGGACAAATCACGCCCCCTTTTCAGAAGTCTGGGCGAGCATGACCACGCAGGAGGGTAGGCAGGGTAGTAGGCAGGGTATGGTTCCCAAGGAAATGCTCTTGGGACAGCCCTTGCTACCCTCAAAGATGAGCAGGTACAGCCTTCTCCTTTCTTCTCATCTACTGAGTTGACCACTCTGGCCGGACCCTTACAGACCCAGCGGATCCCCTCAGAAGCCACTGTTTGGTGTGGCTCCCTTTTGGGAAAGGCACCCTAAGACTTAAGTCTGTAAGAGAAGGGTATCCCTCTGCTGGGCTAGCTAGAGAGAGCAGGCAGAAACAGATGAGTACAGACTTACGATGTTGTAGTATTAAGAAAGCAATGCGGTCAAAATCAGTTTTACCACAGGGGGAAAAAATACATGCTTTATGATATTGAGAATGATCCAGTAGAAGGAAAAAATTAGGGGGAAATTTTTTTAAAGGGGGGGAAGAACCCCGAAGATTGGAACAATGCCCTTGGGTAGGTAAGAAGAATCAGTTAGGCAGTGGTTCTCAACCTTCCTAATGCCGCAACCTGTCATACAGTTCCTCTTGTGGTGGTAACCCCCACAACCATAAAATTATTTTCATTGCTACTTAACTGTCATTTTGCTACTGTTGCAACCCATGGGTTGTGAACTGTTGAGTTAGGGGCTGGTTTAGCAAACATGGTTAGCACTCACAAAATCAATTGTCTGGCCTGTTTTTCCAGCCACGTTCAGCTGTGCAGCCACAAGGCAGTACTAGGTAAAATGTTGACTTTTAACCAGTTTGAAGACTTTTCCAGGCATGTACAACACAGGGGAGGTTGAAGGTGTATGGGGGGGGGGTGTGTGTGTGATGATGAATATCAATCATGGACTTGGAGTGAAGGGAAAATAAGGGTCTAAGCTAGGGGAGTCAAGGTCTAAGAGAGACCTCTCTTTTGGGTCCAGTCAGAGTAAGCTGTTGCAGGCGAGGAAGCAGAGGAGTAACGTGGAAATGCTGCCTGCACCACTTAGAAGGCTTCTTCCATGGCGTTCCCCCAACGAAGCACACGCTGGCCAGGGGTCTTGACACGGACTGCTCCCTCTGCCTGCCTGGCTTGAACTTCCTTCCCCCAGAAACCCCACAGCTCCTTTCCCTCCCTCGGCTATCTTCACAGCTTGTTGCCTCTGCTTTCGGAGGATCTCCACCAAAATAAGAGGGCTTAAAAACTTCTTATACAAATGCAATAACGGAAACTTCCCATGAACTGTTTCATGCCCCTCCCCACCATAGTATCTCAATAAAGTCCTTCCCAATCAAATGTAAATGCTATCTTCCCCAAGCATTCTTTGCCCCCATAGTTCTGTTTATCTTTCTCCTTGGTACTTAACTCCTGAGCACTGGGGTTGGCCAAGAGGTCTGAGTGGGATGCCAACAGCATCTGCTACACTGTGGGCCTTGAGTACTTGTGGAGTGACCAATCTTGAGTTCCTTCAGAGCTATGGAAGGAGGTGAAGATGTGGCCAGATCAAACCCTTGCAGGGGAAAATATGGTGGGCCTCACATGAGAATGCAGAGAGAGATCTGGGTTTTTATATTGGAAAGAACAGTTCTACAGCCTAGGTTTGAATCCCAAGATCCATCACTCGTGGCACTTTGCCTAACACACCTAACTGCTCAAAGTCGTAATGTCTTCTTAAGCGATGTGGGACACACAACAGAGAGGTCAGGAAACATTCGTGAAGAGTGGATGGACCTAGCCCAAAATGTAACCTATAAATATCAGTGCATGCCTTCCTTTCAATTTCCTGGGCATCAAGTGGGTTGGGAAGAACGTCAACTGCCCCTCCTTGTTTAATCACCGTTGGTGTAAAACAACATGACTAACAACACACACCTGGAGTTCTTGGCAGCAAAGGCCCCATGTCTGTGGGTTTGGCAGCACGCGCTATGTGTAGAACCGGGGTTATGAATGAGAGCCGTCCCTGCTTCTTTAACAATTTGTAGGTAAGGCGGACCGGGCGCATGGATTCTTACTTAGCCGAGCACAAAAAAAGGCTCAGTCTTCTCAACGATTTAAAGCTGCAAGTGCAGCAAAGGAAGCTTTCGGTGATGACGAATGGCTTTCACGTAAGGGTTGGTTTGTTGCGGCCCATTCACCATTGCCAGAGCTGTGTCTGATCGTGGTGACGCTACAGGACAGAAGAGGGCGGCTCCTTGGCGTGGCTGCAACTGGAAGTCTTTACAAGAGCAGACAGCATTATCTTTCTCTCTCAGAGGTGCTGTCTGGTTTGAACTGCTGACTCTGTGGTTAGCAGAGTGCTTACTTAACCCACAGTACTATCAGGGCCCCTTAATCATTTCAAAGTGAGGCCAAATTTACCTAAGTCAAAGGGCGAGTAACCACTGTCTGAGTCCGAAGTTCATAATCCAGGTGATGCCTGCATACATAACATAGCACTGACTCACAAATAGTTCTTTTAGTAAGACGGTCATGAATTAATTCCTCCACCCAAACTCCCTATCCCCCCCTAACGTGCACTATGTTTTCAACAGGTCTTATTCAGAGTGACACAGGTTGTGGCCTGCCAGCCTTTCTGCAATCATTCCTAGAATCACTACTGAGTTATGCCTGTAACTCCCACAACGGCAGAGCACACACCACCACCGCCCCAGAGCTGTGGCCGCAGACCCCATCATGTACGCATACAGATGCGACAGAGGCACGTCCCTCTTTCTTCACGTTTCAACAAGACTTGGCCTCCTCACCTGTTATTTTTTCTAGTAGAGAAACATCCTGCACTTCCTGGGGCAAAGAAGCAATCTTCTGTCGGACAGTAGCATCCCCAGAGGCGGCGTTTTCCAGGTCCTGCAAAGCTTTGATTAGTTCCTCCGTCTGCACAGGGGAGACACAAACAGCAAACACTACCCAGTAAGAGAAACTGAGTGGAGGGTGCGGGGAGGACAATCAGCTGAAATTAAATGAGGCGGAGACAAATCCCCAAACCTGTCTTCCCTGACATTTAAAAAATAGTTTTTAGTCCCATTGCTTAGGGTAAAGTGAATGATATGAATTCTAAGAGAACACACAGAATTAATTTTTCTAAGTTCATTTTCCAGGATAAAAATGAAATTCTATAGAGTGCCTTAAAAAAGTCTCTGGCAACGATGAAAACTGGAGTCTGGTTCGTACTGTTTTGTTTCAGATGGAATGTTCTCAGTGCAGAATGCTCTCCAGGAGGGCATGGAAGTCTCCCTAGTGTTTCGGCTCATTAAATGAAACTCATACCACCTACTTCAATGCTTTCTTGGATTCGCTTTACAGAGATGACATTTTAAATATGGGCCACCACTTTCAAAATTACCGGTGTCAAACTCATTAAATACAAAGGGGTAACAAAACTGAGAAGCAAACAAAGAATATATTCCGTGTACATGGGAAAAGTGATTTCTTAGATTGTTGGAGCACACAGAACACTGGCACGTCAGCCAGTCTGTAGTGACCTGGGAGTGAATGATTCTGTGAGTGATACAATTTTCTGGGAACGAGGTAATTCTGGCCCTTCCCATTGTAGTTTTTCACTGCCAAGCCACGTGACCTAACAGTGCTATGGGGCAAAGCCCTGGTGGTAAACTGAGTGACTATGAGCCTGCCTGCTAACTGAAGGCTCAGTGGTTTGAACCCACCAGCTGAGACCAAGCTGTGGCAGCCTGTGCCTGGGAAACCCTGCGGGGCAGTTCTACTCTGTCCTACAGGGTGGCTCTGACTCAAAACGCCTCCACGGCAGTGGGTACACTGTGCTACCATTTGATCTCCCAGCCTAATTGAACCTTTCTTTGATACAGCACAAAGCAAACCACTATGCAATCAGGTAGCGATGTTCTGAGTGACACAGAGGAAAGCGTGTGAACCCAGGAAGAGGAACACCTCGGAAGTCAGACAGACGTAGACTCAAGCGAAAGACACCAGGCAAGTTACTCACTGTCTCCTCGAGCAGCACTTGGTTTAAAAAGACAATAAACCAACTGCGCAGAATTCATAAGTTAGTGGCTAAGAAGGGCCACCACACCCCAAAGCCACAGTTAAAAATTTAGTAAACCTTGCATAGTGTGGGAGAAAACTGTGGAACAGAATTCAAAACCATGAAGGGGACCAGGCTTATTCACGGAATAGAGACTGGTTGAACCCCTGGGTCACCCTTTTGTCTGGAACTGAATTCACCCCCAGAGCTCAATTTTCAGCCAAGCCATAGAGAGGTCTTTACGGGAATAATAACATTAGTGAAGTCTGTACAGCTTAGAATAATCAACCATTTGAGATCAAAAGGTCAGCATTTACCCAAGGACAATGCTCAGAAATTGAGGGCTTGGAGAGAAAGCGGAAACAGGGAACACAGGGAGGAAGTGGGATATGTGATGTTACATTAAATGGATTGCAATGAATGAGATGTAACTAAAGGTGCATAAATTGTTGGATGTAAAACTGATGATCTGCTCTGTAAATCTTCACCCAATTCACAATAAAGTTTTCATTAAAAACAAACTCAGTAAATGCCCGCTCCTTGATATAAAATTTAATAGGTTACGGTGTAGTGTCTGTTCGTGCTACACTCCTGTCTTTAGAAAGGACCCTGCTGCTTACTTATCAAACCATCATGCTACTGGGGGCAGGCCAGGGAAATATACTTTTTTAAATGTCTCTGAAATCTTGTCTAACCCCCCACCCCACCCCAGTGGCAAATTTAAAATTCACTTTTTGCTCCTGAGGAGTGGGCATGAGGTGGGGGTGGAGCATCTAGTACTGTTATAAACACACAGACTTCACCCAGAGTCCGGGCACGCATAGACAAAGGCAGGCTGCCACCAACTATTTCACAGCGGGATCTTGCACCTAGTACCCCAAGTGCGGCCCATGGTGGTGCCCTCCTGCTGGCTACTGGCGCCACCTTGTGGCCACCCCCTTCCCATCAGCTCAGAAGTTGCTTCACTAAGCCACTGGGGATGGCCAAGGCATACCAAGAGGGGTCCTGCGGAAGGATCTTGTGGGGAGTAACTTCCAGGGTAGTCGTCGTCCTCCTCCTCTTGGATCTGCTGAAAAGTCCGCTTTAGAGACTTCTTCTCTTCTGATACTAGGATAAAAAGGGGACAAATTAGGACCACGAATCCTGTCAAGAGTTGACTCTTACGTACAACGTAACAAACGGCATAGGGTGTACACTGTCACAGATGGCGTAAGCTGAACCTTGCTGCCAGGGACTTGGAAGTTCAGTTGGTGTGGCTCCCATACTACTGAGAACAGCCTTGGTCTGCCATCTGGGGCTCGCTGAGGGAAACAAGCTCCTAAAGTGAAACCTCCCCAAATGATCGCATCTAATCGGAAAATCCGCATTTTAAAGGCAAAGGTTAACAGAAGTAAAATAGTTCTTTTAAAAAATCCTTCAGACAATATAATGAAGCAAGCCAATGTGTATAAGGGCAGAGAACACACTGCATATAAAACAATGAACTTCCTAAGGATTTTAAGAAAATAAATGGGAGAGAAGAACCCATCAACAGAAGTGTGTCAACAATGCTGAACACAAACATCTTTTAAAATCTCTTTGTAAACAAAACAAACTTCATTTTACCTTAAAATTAAAAATAATCCTTACTGAGAAATATGATTGATACTGTTGAGAGAAATTACTTAAACTAGCACTTTAAAATTAACCACTTTGGGGCTGACAGGTTGCATTTTTTATCATCTGCTTATCATGATAGATGTGCTAATTCCCAAATCATTCCTTTTGCATCAAATTGGACAATATAAAATAAATGCCAGACAATTGTGAGCTGTGGGGAATAAATCTAAATGATAAATTCTGGTTTGGAAAGTAAAGAAACTATTGGGCACCTAGCATGTGCCCAGCAAGGCAATCGTTCCTTTAAATTTAATCCTCCCAGCAGTTCTAAGATGTATCAGCTCCACTGCGTAGGTGAGAAAGTAAAACTATGAGGCCAAAGCCTGTGCGCTTTGCACTGCCCACCAGTGATCTATCACAACACAATCACCCTCTCATCTGCCAAGGGGGGTGGGGGGTAAGGCATCTGCCTCCACAGATACCAGGAGATAGGAAGGAAGAATGTACACTTTTTGTTTCTATATTTTCTTCTGGATCCAAGCTTGTAGTCCCCGTTCTCTCCCTTCAACTTTAACTGACTACGCCATGATTGAAGGGAAGCCACATCAGGATCGTGGGCTTTATCTTTTTGTTCCACATAGCAATGCAGGCAGTCCTCACTTGGCTTGATTCTGCTCTGCGTGGATTTCTGTCACCCTGGTTTAATTTTGTTACATGGCATCAGCCCCCCTCCAACAATATGTTCAAATCTTAGTCCACACGGCATGTTGACTGAGCAATGGCACAAAGTACAAATCCCACTGCTAATACTTCAGCTCACAAGTGATCGCATCAAGAAGGGCTGTGCACCATGATCAATGACCAATCATGCTGCTGCTTTCAAAGTCTGTCCGTGACTGATGGCTGCACATTTGTCATACACTTATGGACACACAGCCAAGGGTTCCGCTGGATGGCCTCCTTGTCTCCCAAAGGTAAAATCACATGCCACATCACAAAGATGAATCGCTGGCTGGCAATGGCAAAAGTGTGGCAAAGAAACAAAAAGCACATGCATGCTGGAAGGGAAACTGGAACAGAATGTACATTGACTTGCAAGAGGCTGTGGATATGGGGACAGGGCCCTCATTCAAGAAATTGCACAGCCTTATGAAGGGCTTCAGCAGCCGTGAGCCGGAGAGGCCTTAGGGAAGCATGGTTGTAATAATATAGCTGAGTATCCCACAGGGAATGACGGCTGCAAAACTTCCCGAGTAAAGGAACTCTCAGAGCTGCTTCATGACATCACAGGGAGAGAGGACAAGCCAGTGGAAGTGGAGCCACATGTGGAAAAGAACATGACAATTTGCAAGCTCTGCATCACATGCTACAGAGGATGAGGGCCCACGCAATCAGAACTGCTATTGTTCTGAGTCAAAGTAATTAAACAGTTTTATCTTCAATCTTTGTATTTCAAATTACAGCACAGTAAACATTAGTTTTATTATCCCTTTTGTTTCCCTATGCATTTATAATCAACTCACTCACTCACTGGCATCGAGCCGATACCTCCCTCCCTGACACCCTGCAGGTCAGGAAGAACTGGCCCTGTTGGTTTCCTAGACAGTGGTCTGTATGGGAGTACACAGTCCAGTCTTTCTCCCATGGATAATCAAGAGGAAGATAGCTTTTACTACTGTGACAGAAGATTGCTTAAAAGAGTCACAGGGCAATTCTAATTTCCTATTAAATCATTTTGCACGGCTTCAGCTCCCATGGTCACTTTCACAACCCACACGACAGACCAAGAAAGGCTGCTATATTACATTTTTCCATTGGAAAACTCAGATCTAATTGATATATGGAATATCCAATAGTACTTTGCACACAGTAGTGCGGTATGCAATGTAACAAATGTTGACTTTTAGCCAAGGCAACAGCAAAGGAACTACTAGAATGTTATATACCCCAAGAACAAAAAGTACAAACATTGTTTCAATTGTTTTGCTTCTAAGCACCTAGCAAAGTGCTCAATATTTGTTGTATATGCTAATGAAAGGTGGAAGGGTCAAGACTTGAAATACTTGCTTTTCAAAGTCCACCAAAGAAGTTATTAGACACAAACACCACACATCACTTACCACCTCAGGTCACTGGGAGTTCCTGAATGTGGGCACTGGATGGCCTTAGAGCAACTCGTCTGGACTTTCCCACCTCAGTTTTCCCACAAAAACATCCAGGCCCACAGGCTGCAATTTGTCCATGGTCACACAACTCTTTAGTCGGAGTCCTACAGGCAGCGTCGTCTGCCACCGAACGCATGATTCTTTTCGCCATCTCCTGCTGCTACTCAAGACTGAAGCCACGGGGGAGGCCACTGCAGGGCCATTCTGGCCTTTCCATTCCATTCCGCTGGAAGAGGCGGATTTACAGTGCCCAACCGTTACCATCAGACTTTCGCAGTTCTTTGTTTTCTCCACTTGGGGGACCCCCACTGGTGCTCTAAGCCACCACTTCTGGGAATGAAATTACGTATCCATTCCCCATTACAGCGCCCCCCCTCCCTGAGCTACCTATCTTAGTTATCAACACTTCCACTTGTCCCATATTCTAAGCATGGCCTTAGAGATGGCTAGCAACTCCCCCAAAGTTGCAGCTTCTAGCCGATTCCACATCTGAGGGAGCTCTTAGAGAGCCCCTCTCTGCTCTTGCCCACTCAGAAAAGTCTCTCTGGACAAGGGGTAAAGGTTCTGCCCTTCACCCCTTGTCCAGACCACTGTCCTCACTGGTGTCCCTGCCTCTAGCTCAGTGGGTTCACCCACTTTGGGTGAAAAAGCAAAAGCAAACACCTACACTTTGCCCTGGATTATGGGCTGTAGCACAAATGCTTTTAATTGCTAGGAGGGTTCTAGGTTAATTGTTTCTCTAAAAAGGAGGTGTTTGGTCAAGTAAGCTTCAGAACCTATGTTCTAGATGCTTGTGGTAGTTACATAATTTTAGGTCAACTTGATAAATAAGTGTAGGGGTGGAGTCTAGCCTGTCAATCAGGTTACAGCCTGATGATGCCTTCTCATGGGCATGGCCTTCTCATGAGAATTCTGGGAACTTACTCTCTCTCTCTGGAGGCAGGCCGCACTCTCTCTCTCTGTGCCTTGTCTTCCTGTTGACAAGACATGCAGTGACTTACTGAGACCTGTGAGGAGACCTTGCAATGCTTCGCCTTCTGGTGAAGAGCTACACTTGGAAAGCTGGAAGAGCCATGGAGACCCGCACCAGCGCTGAGATGCTTCCACTGTCACTGGATCCACAAGACTTTTCACCCACCTGCCTGTGATCTTCCTGCACTCGGCATCATTGCATGTGCTGCGTGAGTCTGAAGAGGAATTTATGGACTAGTGTATGTGAGCTAATATCAGATTTATGAACCTGATATGGGCTGGGATGTTTTCTCAATATACAATTGCTCTTTCATATAAAGCTCTCTTAGACATAGACACACACACACAGTGTCTCTGGATTTCTCTAGTCCACCCAGACTAACACACTGCTCCTTTCCCCACCTAGGTGGTACTCGATGATTAATCTTTCTAAAGTTGAGTCCTGACTCTGTCATCTTTATTCAAAAACCTAGAATGAATGCTATTACAACCTCCTAAATTGAGAGCCTGCCGACATGAACACGCCATCTTCCTCTCACTCCCATCCTCTCCCTCTCCAACGGCACAAGACTGATTTGCTTGTTCCTTTGACAGTCGGTATTCTTTGCCAACACCGTAATTGAAACGCATAGTTCTTCTTTCGTTCCCCCTTTTCAGGGTCCAACTTGGGACTCTCTTTTATGTACTTGGCATGTGCTACTCCGCCCGGCTGCTGGCAGACACAGCCTTTCCTCTCTACAGAAACACTGCCCTGTTCTTTTCCATCCCTAAAGTACCTAGGAAGTTATCCACAGGCCTCTCAAAGGCAGACAAGGTAAATATCAGTGCTGTGCCAGAAATGACTACCCTTCCTTCCCCCACACACTGCAAGCAGTTAATTCTACCTGGACAAATCTACACAAATTTAGTAGTTAGGGCGCCTAAATACTCTCAATCTAGTCAGACAGCCAAGAAAATAACTTAGAGAAACCAGCAGTCTGGCTGTGAATGTAAGATAAGGCACCCTTTTACTATCAGCTTGGATAATGGTGTCTCGACACGCCCTTCTGTCACTCACTGAACCACCGTGCTTGCAGGCCAACGCTACAGGCAGTATTGTCCCTCTATTCTTAAAAACATACACCTTCTTTTCTATCCAGCCTGTCCCTGTGTCCCCAGGCTACCGCAGGGCCAGTGATATGCCTCCTAGAGCCTTATACTGAGAAAATAATCAGCAAATGTTGTTTGACAGATCCCCCACCCCCCATTTAGTGCTTCCCTGGACCATAAAGAAAACAAGAGGCTACCGTTGAGGGGCAATGCTTAAGGCACCCACACTATCATCGCACTGGATTGAACAGCTGGGTCCAAGTGCACTGTGAAGAACATAGGTTTAAAAGTCAGACAGACCTGGGTGTGAATAATTCTCCACTTAGCAGAGAGATCTCATTGGACAAACTGACTATTCCCTTGGGCCTTAGTATCCTCAACTGCAATATGAAAATAATGCCAAATGGGTGAGAAATTGGAAGGATCTACAAACAGTTAAGATGAAAAGCACTCAGCAGGGAGGCTGACAGCTAACAGGTACGCCATAAATGCTAGTTCCTACGTCCCATCCCTTTCTAAGTCTGTCTACAGCTCCATGACACACACCATTCCCTTGTGACTGGAACAAATATTAAAGCTCCACCGAATCAAGCAAGAGCTACTGTTCCCAAGAACAGAGAGACGTTGTTAAAAACACCTGAGCCTGACACCTGGGGAGACAAGTACAACCCCTTTGAGCAGTGAAAGTCAGATTCCATCAGGTAGATTACAATTCCTGGTAAATCTAAGAGGATCCAAGTAGACCTGTGTGCTCTAGGGGGTTTGAAGGGACTGATTTGGGGGAAGCAGTTCACCAGGTCTTTCTTCCAAGACCCCTCTGCATAGAGGCAAGCCTCCAGCCTTCAAGTAGCAGCTGAGCGTGGCCCACCCAGGGCTCTTACTTTGGAAACAGCTCCGGTACGACAAGAATTACAAAAGTTCTGCAGGAAATGCTTTATTTCAGTGGCAAACTCTGAAGTTGCCTGAACACAAAGAAATTACCCACATATCAGCCTTGGGGGATAGAAGGGTTATTCAAACTTGGAAATCAACTTCTGGGGAAGATCAAGATTTTGAAAGAATAGTATAGAATATCCTGGTAACTCACTCTCAAGAAGACGATGAGGAAAGAGAACAGTTAGCTGGGCCTACCCAAATACGCACACAATTTTCTGAGACTGGTTTCCATCTTTACAGCACAGAGAGAAATGATCTCAACATTAGCTTACCTGCCACCAGAGAAATACAGTATATGTCTAGACTTAGAAAACTCAGAAACCCAGTGGAGCTATTTTTGAATCTACCATGCCCACAGGACCTCACACACACACACACACACACACACACTGGCCTCAGTGTAAAACGCTCTCATGCGGCTCCCTCCCTCTCCTTTTGTACCTCTCAAATACGCCAGACTCACTACCATCCAGTCCGCTCACAGAGCAGAACTGTCCCTGTGGGTTTCTGAGACTGCACGTCTTTACAAGAGTAGAAGGTCTCCTCGTTTTCAACAGTTGCCCTTGCAGTTAGCAGCTTCCTAGCATAACTATTTACTCCAGCACATGTAGAGCAAATGCTCACTAAGCTGGAACTCAACAGTGAGCTTTTAGCACCCTCTTTCTTACTCTGTCCAAAGGTGGGTGAGTGGGTGGGTGGAAGGGGAGAATCAGTACGGTTTACCAGATGCAGAGAACAAAGAGTGCAGGTAACGCTCCAGGGCTCCGCTGAACAGCTCCACAAGACAGGACAGGTATGACCAGCATTCAAAGTAGAAAGCCTCCTGCTTTTACATGCTACAGCCAGAATGACCCCAAAATGGTTTTCTGTCGATTCTAAGTAAAACCATCATCTACAATCTACATGCCCTCGTCACCTTCAGAAAATCTTAGCTCTTCAGCTTCATGGGAAACGACCCCATCTTTGACTGCAACCCACCTTAGATCTGGAAGAGCGCCAGAGGTGGGCGATAAAGGGTTGCTGAATGAACAATACAATCAGGAGTGCCAATCACGGTTCAGTTCTGCACCAGAGACAGACCTGGAGCTCCAGGGAAACGAGGAGGGAAGGCTACGCATGCCCAGGTGAGTGAGGGGAGGTGTCAGAAAGAGAGCAGCGTTCTCGACAATTTAGTTCACCACACAGGGAAAGGGGTAGAGGCATTCCAAGCAGGGTGACAGCAGACGAAGAGAAAGGGGTACTGACAGAGCACCCCCAGGGGAAGCAGCTGGAGAGTCAATGTGGCCAAATACAGGGTGCATAAGGAAAAGGTAGAAGAATCTGGAAAAGCAAGCTTGTCCAGATTAGAGGGTTTAAAAAATATTGTTAGTGCTTGGACTTTATCTTCTAGGCAAGGAAGATCAGGTCAGAGTTTAGAAAACTTGTCATGCCAACTAGAGTACAGCCCAGCGAGTCCAAAGCCAAACCAAACAGCATTTGATTTTCTTACTCTTCTTTAAAGAGAAAGTAACAAGCTCTTAGGAAGGACTTGGTAAAAATTCACATGTATGCATGCATATCTTTTCCAAGGAAGTTCTGAGTTCCATAAAGACTGAACCAACTTTAGGCAATGAGCAAACAGTCATAAAAGTGCATTCCAAAAACTGTATCGAAGCCAAGCTCTACAAAGGCTGTGGGACTCATCCTAAATCTTAATTAATGCTGGGGTAGGCCAAAATCTCGGCCCAGGGCACATCCTAGTTCACCACATTGGAAGCAATTCTGCGATTCTCTTCCCTTGGGCTAGAGGAGTCTGAACCGCAGCAGGAGAGAGACAGGGAATAAAGAGCAAACATTAGGGTGGGAGATGATGGATAGCATGAGCACTAGACCCAGGCTTGTGCACTGCGAACGCTACATAAATTCTCACCATCATTCATGATCATCTCTCTGAAGAATCATACAATCGCTGGTGGTTCACAGCAACCCCCACTGCAGCTTTTCATATTTGATTCGAAAGTAGGCAAAGACCAAGAGCTGTAAACATGTGGTGATGTTTCTACCTTTGGGGGGAGGGCTCTTGGAGTCCTCCATAGACAGCTTCAGCTGCTGTATGAACTCGCCGCCATACACACTTCGTTCTTGCCAGATGTTCAGCAATCTTTCTAAAGGTTTTTTACAGCCTTCATCTGCCTCTCTGCCCAGAAAAGACGAAAAGATACAGATAAGCTTCAGGTTTTGTTTGTTTGTAATCAGGACAGGCCTACGTTCAAAAAACAACCCACTAAAGGATTTACACACGTAAAAACAGAAGGATGGGGAAGGTACATATTGGGACACTTGGATACCCAGCTTGACCAGAAACTTTCTTCCTGGGCTGGGTGGGGAAGAGAGAGAGAGGATATGATGGAAGGGTCTGTCTTCCCCACCCTCATCTTTTCTGAAACAGCAAAGAGGGCAAAGAGCCAACAGGGAATTGTCAATAACTGATCCTGTCAATTGTGATAGCATGCTTTTTAGGGAAGCATTCTGCTGGAAATTAAAGTGGGCACAAACTTCTCAAGGATAGAAAAAAGGATCGCAATGAATCCAAATCCTTAAAATGGGGAAGAAATTCACAATAATTCATCAATGCCAACATATTAACACCTCTACATGTGTAAATACAATTGCACACATACTAACTCAGACCAATCTCAACTCTCAATAACTACTTTATAATTATCTTAATTCTGGGCCACATCTGTATTCATTTTTTAACAGAACTAAAATAAGACAGTGCTTTTCGATTTATGTTTGAAAGGTTTTTTAATTGACATATTACACCCTTGAAACAATATTTTTTCAGTGAGATGACTATAATTGCATTCAGTGTAAACCTACCGTTAAACTTCAGACAGCAGGTAGACAAGTTGGGGGAGGACTTTCTGAATGGAAAACTCAGTCTGTATCAAACTGCTGTTGTCTGAGGCTGTTTGGGTGGCAGTTTAAATTAAGCGTCAATGAACTTATTCGGTGACTTTACACAAGATGCTCCTACACCCTCGTAGAGTAAGTCAAATATTTTTCATATGAACTTCAAGAAGAAACCTTGCAAATTCAACTGAGATGGGTCGGTTACTCACCTCTGATCCTGATAGACCTTTCAAAGCTATGTTAACACTCCCAGGGAAGAAAAGGTTTTGGCCCATCCTGGTCCTATTACTTATGAATTATTAGTGGCAGATTTCACTGTACTGGGAATAAAGGACTAAATCAAGATATACACAAATTCTTTTTTTTCTTGAACTTTTCTCCCAGTCAGAGGTAGGGGTCCAAGGGGTCAGGGGCTTTCCAGTGATAGCTTATATAGCTAAAAGATAGGATCTAATTATTTAATATTTGTGGTAACACTTCCACTCCACCTTCAGAATGTCCCAAAGTGAATGAACTCCCCTCCTCTGTCACCAGCCTGGTCGAGACCACTATCACCCTTGCTGGCTGACTGCAATAGTCCAGCATTGCTCTCCCAGCTTCCACTTTTGCCTCCTGCAATCGAGTCTCAAATTTGAACAATTCTAGCTGCTGCTAAGTTGGAAAACCTCCACTGCTCACGCCTGCTGTCCCAGAGGGCAGAGGTGAAAGGAGATGCATAAAGGCCACTAGTTCTCTGGCCTCATCTCCTACCCACTCTCCCTGCCTCTCTCAACAGCAACACTGCCCTCCCGACCCGGGGCCTTTACACTTCGTGTCCCAGACAGAACAGCTCACCACTCCTCCTCCTCCTCCTCCTCCTCTTCCTTCAGGTCTGCTGTCGTCAGAAGCCCTCGAGCAGGTTTTTGACTTCTAGTCACCTATCTGTGCTCAAACAGCACCTGCTTGTTGGGAGAGTCCTTTCCCAGTCTCGCTTTAAAATTAGAATCCCTGCTCTCTCCCCACCTCCCTTGGGCATATAGATGTCTTAGGTTAAGCCCAATAAATAATGGTCAATAATCCTGTCTGGACATCTTCACATAGGTTTCAGTTCAACAACCATCTCATGACATCAAGGAAGGTCTTTATGTCCAGCACATACTGCACACACAACTGCTCATGGATTTATGGCTTGGTGCACTTGGCATACCGGGCATTAAGACCTAGGGCCAGATCTATGGCCTCGTCTCCTTTCCACATTCACCCTGAGGCTTCACATTTAAGCAGCACTGAACCATCATTGATCTACTCAGAACCTGCTCCCTCCTCTCATCCATGTGCCTTTGTCCATACAAGTCCCTCGCCTTTAAATATCTACAACCCTGACCGAGGCTAAGAGCGAAGAGAGAGTGGGAGTAATTGGGGCCGCTGAAGTATATGTGGGACATGAGGAAGTAGGAGATAAATCTGGAGCAGCACAGTGGATTTCCACTTACAGAGAGTCCTGAGCAGGGCCTTCATCCTATGAACAGACAGGCCCTGACGTGATCAAAACTACGGTTTAGAAAGATAGTCATTCCAACTAGTATAACCAAACACGAACAAATCAGAATTTAATTAACTATGTGATCTCTTTAGCAGAAAATGTGCTACCTGCAGACTTTCTGGTCACTTAAAAGAAAGAGGGCCAATTATGAGAACATATGCTAATCAAAGATTTCGTTCCTGGAGATATTTGGGGCTCAATTACAACAGAGACTGACTTCGAGTCCAACTCCAGTTACTATAGAAAACTGGTGTCCAAACTGGTTATAACCATAAAACCTTTCAAAAGGCTTACCACAGGGGAGAGGGGACTGTAATTAGGGACTGTAATTCATCAGGAAAGATGAGAGTAAATCAAAGTTTTACTGGATAATTGTCAAAGTTACAGATGAAGCATTCAAGAAATCTCCCCTCCACCTCAGGAGGTTCTGAATTAAGCAGCTCGTTAACTGGGAGCCACCTAACTGAAGCCTCGCAACCGAGCCAGCTGAAGTCAAAACCCTTTCGTAACACCAGCTGCTCTTACTCCACGCGACAGAGAAGTCTTCGTGGCGGAAATACCCCAAACCTCTGCTAGCAGCCAATGGAAAATAACTGGAGGAAGATAAAGAAGTACAGCTACCAGTGAATGTTACACCAAACACATTTTCACGTCTGTTTTAATCCTGATTCGCTCTATAAATTCAATCACTGCTTACTTTTTCTGGTGACAGGATACCTAACAGGAAAACGTGTGTGCACACGCGTGCATGCGTGCGTGCGTGTGTGTGTGTGTGTGTGTGTGTGTGTGTGTGTGTGTGACAGAACTCCCTTGGCACACCTACTGAAATTGCTGTTTCTGTCTGACCCCACACAGACCTGCCACAGAAAGGCCTGTGAAGGACAGGGCTTCGTTTGGGAAGTCCCTCACACAAAGCTGAAGCAGAAGGGCCTGACAAGTGAGCAGAGTGAATGTGGCCCGTCCAAAAAGGTTACTGGCCGGGACCTGGGAACTTGGGTTCCTAATGTCCTCGTCATTCCTTAACGGACATGGATGGCTGAGCTGCTTGTCAAAAAATGTGATTTAGGCTGAACACTTGCTTTCCTTCTGGGAGGCGGGACTTTTACAAAGTGCCAGGCCGCGAGTGTCCGAGTGACCAACCCTAATAAAAGCTGGGGGCACCGGGTCTCTAATGCACTTTCCTGCTCGTCGAGACTCACTAGCGTACCCCAATGTGATGCAGGAGGGATTCAGCGCATTTTCTGTGGCTCAACTGGCAGCTTATGCTTGGATTCCTCTGGACTTCACCCCGTGTGCCTTGCCCTGTGAGCGCCATCACAGCCATGGGTCCTAACATGCATCTAGTGAGCCTCCACACTCAGGAGCAGCCTTGGGAATCCCTGACACAATCAGCACATACCATGGCTATGGCATTAACGCCCGTATTGATGTCTCCATAAACTAATGCTCTCCTGAACTTCAGCCTGGTTTGCCTAGCTGGCATCTTTCTCCGTTGGGACTATCTAATTTAAAAGGAAAAAAAAAAAGACAGGAGACAAAGATTACACCCAAACCAGTTGGCCTCAAATGTAGTCTGACCCATGGCAAAGCCCACGTGGGCAGAGTAGAACCGCAGAGGTTCCAAGGCTGTGTGACCTTTCAGAAGCAGATTGCCAGACCTTTCTCAGTGGGTCTAAGTGGCCACCCTCTGGGTTAGTGCTCTTCTACCACCCAGGGGCTCCCACTTAATGTTCGTGTGTGTGCGCGCACACACACACACACACACACACACACGCACGCACAGGGGATTCCTCAGGTTCATCCAGAGAGGAATCACTCAACGAATGAGCACTACCATCTCACTGCTTCAGAGTTCTGGTCTCTCTAGCTGTATTACACCACCCTCTGCACTCACCGGGCTTGCCCCCTTTCCAACCCATTTCCTACAAGCCAGTGGGACCTTTCGCACGTTGGAATACATCATTTCCTTGTTTGAAACTCTTTTCTGATACCCCATCATGATGAAATTCTAATTCCTCAAGCTTTCAAAAATCGATGTGAATGGCAGCTCCCTACCATTGGATCACACTGAAGGCCACTCTCCCTGGCTCACCGTGTTATTACATCCCAGATTTCATTCTGTTCCTCTGAACATGCCAGGCTTATCTCCACTGGGCCCACTCCCAGCAAGTCGAGTCTGACTCATAGCAACCCTATAGTGTTGCCAAGGCTTTAAATCTTGAGGGGAGCAGAGAGACTCATCTTTTTCCCATGGAGTTGCTGGTGGGTTCGAACTGTTGACCTTGCAGTTACCAGGGCAACACTTAGCCCACAGCACCACTTGGCTGGCTGCGTTGAGGCAATCCTGACTCATAGCAACCCTATAGGACAGGGTAGAACTGCCCCTATGGCTTTTCAAAACTAATTTTTATTTTACATCTTTCTCCCTTACAAAGCCTCACGAAGTCTCTTCCTTTATTTCTACCTTGGGTGGCTCTAAATAGTCATTCCTGCTTCATATGGTTGCCTCAAATGCCACTTCCTTACTGGTGCCTTCTTTGACACATGACCCAGAAAAGATCCCGGCCCACCCCAGAACACCATTCTCTTTTATTGTGTTCATAATGACCACATTGCCTCTGCCTGCCTTGTTCTCTTCTGCTCCCCTCGGGTCTGGCTCAGAGAAGCCACTTAAAATATGCTGAGAGAAGAATAAAGTGCACGACTACTTCCAAACTGAGATGTCACAGGCAGCCCTCGGATGGAAACTGAGCTTGCGCTTTGGTTAATTAAATGTTAGTCAAAGCAATGAGTTTGGTCACTTCTTGAACTTGAGAAGTTGCTTGTTTGGGGAGATTTTTCTTGTGTTGCTTTGTTTGTAGTTTATCATAAATATTTACCTAATCAGTCTAAGTCAGTATGAACAGGTTCATCTGTTTGGGATCATCAATTGGCCAAAGAACACTACACAGAAAAGCAGGCCGTAAGCTATTCTTATTGCTCACAGGGTACAAGGTATATCGACCAGTGAAGTTAACCGGCTGGACTGTTCAGGAAGGGGCTTGAAAACATTCATGATCCTGAACATAATACCAAACAAACCCTTAACCAAACCTGTTGAGTGCTCTGAATGGATTCTGACTCATAGTGGCCCAAACTGACAGAGCTGAACCCCACAGGCTTTCCCTGGCTATGCCATTGGCTGCCCGAAGAACTGATAAATCTGTGTTGGAAGATGTGCGGCCAGAATGCTCCTTAGATGCAAGGATGGTGAAACTTCATCTCGTGTTCTTTGGACATGCTATCAGGAGTGATCAGTCCCTGGAGAGAGGTATCAAGCTTGGTAGAGGGGCAGCGAAAAAGAGTAAGACCATCAAGATGGATGGACACAGCAGCTACAGCAAGAAGCTCAAACACAGCAACAATGGTAAGGATGGGACAGAACCCGGCAGTGTCTCGTTGCGTGGTACGTACATCCCGGGCTGAAACTGACTCGATGGCGCCCAACAATAAGGCACCATCTGTCTAGGAACAGAGCTGCAGGTCTTTTTTCCCATGGAGCTGAGGGCAGGTTCCAACCACTCCTCCTCCACTTACCCGCTGTACTAATAAGGTTCCTTTGAAAGAACTAAAGAAATCCAAGTAAAAGAAGTTGGGCTGGTTTTTCACTCAGAAAGCCCAGCTTATTCCCGCCACAGCCCACTGAATATGCCAAGGCATTTTTACAGTGCCTCTTGGATAGGTTATAGGCTATCCCAACTTCTGTAAAGAAGCCTCGGGGTGGTTCTACTCTGTCATATTGGATGGCCATGAGTAAGAAACAACTCCATGGCAGATTTCGTCTTATTCCAAACATACTATCTTTCTTTAGCTTCACAACAGCGCTAATGAGATAGGTGGGGTTATTCTCCTTTTAATCAATAGGAAACCTGGGCTCAGAGAGCTTGTGAGGCTGAGCTACCGTCAATGTCTAAGAAGTATCAACTGGTTACCATCAAAATAAGGAAATGCCTCTCTGTAATTTCAAACAGCAAGTCCATCAGCCTGTTCTAAGTTTCCTGTTAAGAAGGGTCAGTATTTTTTTTTCACAAGTTAATGATACATTCAGCCTCTTCAGTTTCCATGCTCATTCAAAGAGCAAGCCAGTTAGGTAGACGACAGTCAAATTAAAAATCTTGTTCCCACCTCTAGAAAGTTACATGGCATCTCTTTCTTTTGAAGTTCTGGCTTCCAACCTTCAAACTTTCCACCTGCGTCGTGGCATGCTGGGTCAGGTTTCCTATTTCAGTCCTCTCCCTTGCACTTCAGACCTTCATACAATAAGTCTCCTTTCCACCTCCCCTGTTTCCTTTGGGGAGGTGAAAATAAGACCTATTTCTTTTTTATCATTTAGTCATGATGGATTGAAACACAGGCAGGTTTTCTCTGCTCCTCCCAAGTGTCTGCCTTGTATCTACAGAAATCAGTTTGTTTAATTAACAACAATGATTTATAAAATTAATCAAATGCATGCTGTCCCTATATATGCTATAGGTAAGCACTATGCGCCAGTCCTCTGTGACACAACAGCAGCAGAGCCGTAATTAAGGTACCCTGCAGACCTATCAGGACTACTGTTCTCAGTAAACTGCATAGCTAGACATCCAGAGGGGAGCTAAGGAAAACAAAGGCATTAGCAACATATTTTCTTGCAGTTAAGGTTTTATTATCGAAAGGTTTACTTGTACTACTTAACTATTGAGCCGTGATTTTCTTTTTTTTTAATCATAAGCAAATGAGACAACTCAACCAAAAAAGAATGTCATATGCAAAAAGGGCAGATCTTAAATGAACACATCTGGAGGAAAAGATGCCATTCAAAGAGGCTGAGTCCCTTTAGTGCAACAAAATGTTTCTCTGACTGAGATCGTTGGTAAGGGAAAGCAGAAAACCCACGTGACCTTTGCAACACTGGTTTACAACGTGTGATGTTTTCCCTTCACAGAGGCTGCCACAGCCACAGAACAGTGACAAGGCGGAAAGGTTCTCCATTAAAGTAACAGACACATACCTGGCGACGTGAGAGAACGCATCCACAAGAACAGATTCAAATTCTCTAGTGAACTCCGGTCCTTTCCTTTTACTGTTTTGGATGACATCATTTGCTAAGTATAGGAAAGTAAGCTTTCTATTTGATTTGGCTGAGGGGGAAAAAAAGAAAAGAATATATTTTAACTTACATCAAGAAAATTCTCCATACACAGTTCTTTGCTCTAGACTACTCTTAGAGAACGCTAAGACCTACTGCACTAAAGCTCAAAGCTACTACTATTGTTAAAAGCAACAACTAAAGGGACTCCTGACAATCATTAACAAAGGGGGAGGGGGGCGCATCTTCATTTTACATTACTTTAACCATGCTACTTAACTGACAGAGTAAAAATGAAGGCAAGCTAACAGAAGTTCCTAAAGGATAAACATTCAGTATTTTCAAGAAGACACATTAAAACCAGAGTTTTTACTTATTCTACTGCAAATCGGAACATTTCTCATTGTTCATTACGGTATATTCTAGAATCAAAGATTTGAGTTGGGTCTCCATTTCCGTAGCTCCTTGGGTGGAGAATGCCCCTTTGAATGTGTCAGTAACCAGCCAGTGACACCAACTCTACAATCCAGGCAACCTCCAGCTGTATCAGTGGATATTCATTTCAAATACAAGTACACATTAAGCCTACATCATTATTGAAAATTTACACACGCCTGAAATCTAGATATTCAAAATTATGACTCCCACAAAACACATCCTTTTTCTCTCTTACACATACTAGATGTAGCATTTCCTATTACTCTATATGGGACCATATATTAAACCATAAAAACCTCATGCAGTATGCCTGAGTTACAGTTGCTTAGGGAAATGTTACGGAATTTCTTGGCTTCTATGCACATAATTTCTCAACCATAAAGCTATATCACTACCACTTTTTGGTCCTAGTTTTAATTTAAAAGAAATAAATACGAACATAAGATATTTCAAAACGCTGTTTGCTCCCATGCAAAAACTTCCTGTAAAGCTCACATGACCTCTGTCAACCTTTACAATATATACAGAAATTAACAAGTTTACTTTTACGTTTACTTTACATAAGTGATGTGTGGGTTGTATAATTTTCCCGCAAACCAAGCAATGTGAGTGTTATTGATAGGGGCAGGTTATCTGTGGGGGGAAAATTCATAGTCCCTGTTCCATTTCTCTCACACACCAGTTATTCTTTTGAAATGCACACAGCAGGTCTAAATTTCTGACACAGCAGAGGTAAGATCTGGCACTTTAAAATGTAGCTAGTAGCGCATCACAGTTTAAACTGGTGTCTTAGAGTACTCGTAAAATTAAATATGGTTACCCTGAATTGTATTAACTGTCTGGCAATAACCTAGTTTAAGTGGCCAAATGATAAGAATACTGGAAACCTGGTGCCATCTTAAACTGTTCTAATTATTACTCCAAAGCAGAAACCTGTCCGTTAGAATCGCCCTGTCTCTACGAAGGTGTGACTATGACAAAGGTGGGGGGGGGCGGGGAGACAAGCCCTGTTCTAAGAAGCTTTGGTTAAGTCCAAAGGGCCAGCCCATAAAACCACAAAAGCTGGTTGATTCAAATGTTAAATTAGAGTATGTCAAGGATTACAAAATTTCATCTACTTTGTGTTAAAAACAAACAAACAAGGATACATACTGTAAAAAGTCTATCTGGCCTGTTCAAGTCCTGATACATTTTTCACAGTTGAACAAATACAGTATCTCAGAGGCCAGGGCCCAGATTTTCACCATCTAAATTGTCAGTTTATTTCCATCATCCCCAAACTTAACCAAGGGCATTTATTTAAGATCAAATGTTATTCTTTCATCAACAACAAATGATGGTCGTACAACATGATTAATGTAACAGACGCCACTAAATTGTACACCTGAAAAAACGCTGAATTGGCAAAGGTTCTATCTATACAAAGGAACATCAAAAAGTTCACGGGACAATCCCACTATTGTTTTATTCCATTTTTCCATGAACATTATGAAGCCCCTCGTATGATTTTGTACCCCACTTTAAACCACCACTGGCAGCATAGAGAAATACAAGGGGCAACCGGGATGTGTTTGAAGTGGAATGGGGTGGATGGGGCCATGAGAGGCAGTGAGGGAAATTTTCAATGTACAGCTGTGTCACTTTGATTTCTTCACGAGGTGAATTACGATCTATTTTTGAAATTAAAAACCAAATATGGTCTATAAAAACCCCACAAAACTTGATCCCTCCACATTTAGCATGGAACCATCAATATAAGCACCATGCGTGTAAAGGTGGTATGACAGAGAGCTAGTGCATTTTAACACACTTGTTCATCACACACACACACACACACACACACTCACCCCACCCCTCCCCTCCCGTCCAGCCCTGGGTAGCAACTCACTTGTCCAGATGTCTTTTCAATGTAAACAAAATAGGTGTTTCCATCTCCTAATTATGCCTATTCCAAACTGGTTGAACTCGTTGTTGAGCAAAATAACAACTGACCAAAACTTTTCACTTGGTGGGCTGGTTCTGATATCTAAGGCAAGTCTGAAAGTAATTTGGGGAAAGAGCCAATATGTCTGCATTCTGGCTAGGATTATTTTTATTCAAAAAAAAAAAAGGTTCACCTTTACAGCAAACTACTCTGTGAAGTAAAGGAGAAGTTCTAAGAACAGAGCCCATAGGAGTAAATTAAGAATTCACCCTAGGAAACATGCAAAGAAAGTAACACATCAGGAATAGAAGGTCTATTTAAGTAAGAAATAGTAATTTGTTGAAGTCAGGTAAATACACTGAAGGCAATTCGGACACAGTTGGTGAATAATCGGCATGGGGAAAAAAATGACCTGACCCTAAAAGTAATGTCTACTTCAGGCTCAGGGCCGACTAGCACCTAAAAGGCCAATTTGTACATTGAGCACCAGATCCGTTTTACCTCACAAAGGATGCCTGGGTAATAGGAAGTTGCATCCTAGCTCTGCACTGTCCAATATGGTAGCCCCAAGTCACCCATGGCCACTGTGGCTAGTGCAACTGGAGAAGTGAATTTTAATTGGATCTACTTAAAAATACAGTTCCTCAGGTGCACATTTCATAGTGCCCAACAGCTGTATATGACTTGTGGCAACCTTACTGGACAGGCGCATAGAGGATATTCCCAGGAAGAGCCACTGGGCTCCTTTACCATGGAGACGGTGTAAGATCTGGACCACAATTTAACTTGTAAACTAAGTATCCACCAGGCAGAACACCAGATGCCCTGGAGCCTACAGAAAAACAAGAAATGCACTCCTTGAAAACACAACACAGTTCTTTAAAAAAAAGTAAGAATGAAATAAATGCTAAGCTGATGTCAAGAGGTAGGAGGTAGTGATTGATTGCAGCAAATGAAAACACTGTAATTTGGTTGGCGTCAAAGACAACTGCTTTCATTTATTAGAGGTACAGAGCTTCAGTTTTGGCTCCTGTCCTAGTGGTAGACCTCTAAAGAAGGCACTTAATATTCTATTGTCTTTGTTCTCTTATCTAGAAAATGGGTATAACAATCTCTATGTCTTTGTCTTCTCGCCTAGAAAATTAGGCTAATAGTGTCGACCTACTTATAGCATAGGCTCTATCAAAGAGATCAGGGTTAAGGGCATTACATAAATGAACGTACTCTTGAAATTGCTTTCTGTAACTTGGAAGCGGGGAGAGGGAACTGAACTGGGTTTGAGATGGACCAAAATCCTAATTAGCAGTTCACATCCCCCGGTCCCCCATCCCAGCACACACTACAAATAATAATGTTTAAATGACACGCTGGGGTACTTGACGGTGGCTCTGGCAGCCCCAGGTTCTACCCAAGTGCCCAGGGGGCAGAGGGGATCCCTATTTCAGTGTCAAAAAGACAAAACTAAATCCACTAGCATCGCATTGATTCCAACACATAGCAACCAACTATAGGGTTTCCAGGAGTACAAATCTTGACAAGAGCAGATAGCCTCATCTTTCAACTAATGGGTTTGAACCACAAACCTTGAAGTTAGCAATCCAACACCTAACCCACAGCACCACCTAACCCACAGCACCACCAAGGCTCTTTAATTTCACGCATGATATTTGGGCGATTCTACTAGAAGGCTAGAACTGGCTGGGTCTGCTGGGGAAAAAACAACAAAACTGGAGTTTGGAGCCTGCCCATCTGATACCACTCATCCCCTTGAGCCTCAGTTTCCTCATCTGTCCAATGGGGCAGCCTCCTGGCATCACACTTCATAGAATACATATGTCAAGGCACTCCCAAGGCTGGAAAGGGCCTGCCAACAAGGTGCTGCCCAGCACACCCGAGGCCTCATTCTTACACACTTACACACACACAACAGTAAGTTTGAGGCAAGGCCTCTGCCTCACACTGAAGAAGCAATAGTCCCAAGTCACCACCAGTTGGGCACCAGGTGTAAAAAGCCAAATGCTCATCTGGGTCCTTGGGCTTACTCCTCACCACAAGGAGCCGAGGACGAACGAAACTGAGAGATGAGGAGATGAAGCTGTTGGTATTAGACAGTAGCAAAGCCAGGCTTAGATTCCAGGCTATTGGCCACTAGAGCTAGCAGGCTATCAAGTGCCCATCCTGGTACCGGGCTGAGCTCAGTGAATGTGAGCTAGGTGCTGAGCGGGGTCTGGACTCCAATGGCAACTGCAGGAGAGGGACCTGAGAGGGGCAGGCTTGGGGAGGAGCGCCTTTAAACTCTCTCGAAGGAGCTTTGGAGGATTGAGTGCGGGGACATCAAGATCTGAGCCAAAGGGCAGGCAGAGGGAAGGGGTGGCTAACTTGCCACGTTTTCCAGAGGAGCAAACAGAGGCAGGGAGAGGCCAGCATCGCTCGGCTTGGCCCGGGACTCCATGCAGACTGCTCGCTGACCGCTACCCCCAACGCCCGGGGCCAGCGCCTGGACCCTGCCCCGAGCGCTGAATGCAGCCGGGAAAATACCTGTGACGAGTGTGCGGAAGAGACCGAGGGAGGGGGCAGCTCAGACAAGAGGGGATCTGGGTCCCTGGACCCTCCCCGGTCAGTGGGCACCCGAGTCCCCAGTGTCTCAGTTTCCTCCTCCGAGAAATGGGGATAACCCTGTCTCCAACCGGAAACGGCCGCGTGTGGAAGGCGCGGCTCCCCTCAGCAGTCGAGGAGCCCAGGTTGGGGATGGGGGCCGAGGGCGCACGCAAGCCCCGGGCCCCAGGGGCGGGGGCGGGGGCGGGGTGTTTACCTTTGCGGAGTTCGCGGTGCCAGACGGAGACGATGGGCCCCGCGTGCTTGCGGTGGTGGATGAGCCACAGGGACAGGGTCTGCACGCTCTGCTGCGAGTTGCTCAGCTCCGAGAGCTTCTTCTCCAGCGCCGACTCGGAGAAGGAGGACATGGTGGCGGCGGAGACGGCCAGCAGGCAGCGGCCTGGGCCGCCCAGTGCGGCGGGGGAGTGCCGGCACGAGGCCGAGGCCTCGCCTAACAGACCGCTGGACTCTTTCTTTGCAAGACTGACAGACGGCCTGGATCGCGGGGCTGGGGGGGAAGGGACGGGTCTCCGCCGTAACAGCCGCCCGCGCCGCAGCCCCAAGATGGCCACCCCACCTCTACCTCGCCGCGAGAGCAGGGTCAAGGGGCAAGCACCGGAGTAATTGGGCCGCCGGGGGCGGCCGGAGCTGCAGCAGAACGTCCTTCCGGGCGCGGCGGTCTCGGAAGCACCTTGTTCGGGACCCTCGGCAGGCAATGGCCCCGGGGCCGGCGCTCACTTCCTCGCCCCCGGAAGGCGCAAGGAGCGCTCGCGCCCGTACGCCGGCGCCCGGAGTTTCGCCGGAACTCTTTCTCCCGCGCCCGCGGAGCCTTTCCGGCGCTGTACGGCCGCTGTTGACTACGTCACTTCCGGCGGGGCCGAGGCGGGAGAGTGAGGGAAAGACTAGAAGACGAGGTAAGGGCAGAGTGGCGAGGGCCAGTGGGAGGCCAGCGGATGGAACCCCGAGAACGGGTTCTGTGGGAACCCCGAGGCCGAGGGGTCACGGCCTGGGTGTGGAGGGAGGGCTTCTTCCTTCAGCCAGTAACCCCCACGCCGCACGTTTCTTCCGTACCTGACCGCACGGTGGCCGCCGCCCCCCGCCCCCACCGCGGCTTTGGGTTCCTCCGAGTCACGCACGTGTGCGCTTCACGCCTCGGCGCCTCGACTGTTGTTTTCGCCCCTGAGGTGACGTCCCCTTTCTCCCTTGGGGAACTCCAGGAGCCACTCTGTCGTGTGCACTTCTGGCCTTTATAAAGTGCATCGGCACTGCCGTGAAACGCACCTTTGACGTCTGGTTGCTGCATCAAGTCAATGACATGAAAACCGTCCATTTGACGTTTCTTAAATTTAAGTACTACATTCACCTTTTTTTTTTTTTGGAAGCAGGGGAAATTAGTTTACCCTCCTGGTGCCGCTCTGGACCTCTATTAAGAAACACCCATTAAGAATCAGAAGCCTTATTCAATTGCTTAAGATGTCAGCGAAAGCAGGGCAATAGTTTCTCCTTTACCAGGGAGAGAAGTGCTAGAAAGCTAGGTAGTCATAGGCACAACCGAATTTTAAGGTTTTCTTGACCCGGGCCGTACTTTCTGGTTCCAGGTAGACTCCGATTTAGGAGGTAGTCTTCGAGTTGCTGACTCTGTTCTTCACGAATAATGACTCTATAGTAGCACTTCCTAAAATGGGTGATACTATCTCCTGGGGGACCCTGGAACAACGCAGGGGAACTGCAAAAGCAAATATCTGCACCTGATTCTGGATTACCGATTATAGTACAAAAGTTTTTAAATGGCCAGCCCAGAGCCGCTGTGTTTTTTTATTTGTTTTTGTTTGTCAGGATTTTCTTAATGGGGATGCTAGGTCAAATCCGTTTGGGAACTTATGCTCTATAGGATGGAGTACAATTGCTCCTTAGGATTCCAAGCCTGTCATTTCATGGAAGCTGACTGCCATGCCTTTATCCTGCAAGAGAAGCTGGTGTATTTGAACTGCCAACTGTTGGGTTAGCAGCTGAGCTTTTAATCACTGTGCCTCCAGGGCTCCTCCTCCTGACTAGAATCAGCATGATCCCAGCTGACACGGTTTTCACTCATTTACCTCAACCTCTTTTTAAATGATCTCCCCAAGATCACAAGACCTCTGGTGGCCTAGTAGGATACACATTGAGCTGCTAACCATATGGTCAGCACTTCAAACCCACCAGCTGCTCTGCTGGAGAAAGATGAGGCTGTCTCTCCTATAAAGATTTAAAGGGGCAGTTCCACTCTGTCCTATAAGGTCGCTGTGAGTCGGAATCATCTCGATAGCAGTGAATTTTCTGGTATTCAAGATCACATAATAAGACTTCAGAGAAAGGAATACATTTTATCTCTTGGTTCTCAGCACTTGAATCATTGCTGATCAAATGAATTAATATAGAAATGGGTAGCCTAAAAACCGGTAACTGGTTATTTAAGCTAGGACTTTTAAAACCAAATCTACATTAAATAACAGTTACAAATTGAGTACTTTCATGCCAAGTCACTGTGTATTAAGTACATTATATAATTGAATCCTCACAATCTTTTAGGGTAGGCTTATTATTTCAATTTGGTAACCAAGCATGTGGTATGGTTAAAGACCATCCCCAAGAGTACTCAGGTAGGGTATGGGAGAGTTAGGTTCAAGTTAAAGTTATCTGATGTGTGACCCAAAATTGTTGTTGCTGAGCCACTGGTTCATTTATTCATTCAGCAAATAAATTTTGAGTGGCTATATCCAAATCAGCAGTGTACTGACAGGGAGCTGCCAGAGGTTCAGAACAGATCCAGAAGAGGATGTGGAACAAGGGATGTTATTGCTGACGTCGTTGGGTCTTGGCTGAAAGAGAATACTAGAAAGATATTTGCTTGTGTTTCATTGACTATGCAAAGGCTTTTGACTGGGTGGGTCATCAGAAACTGGATACTTGTGAAAAGAATGGAAATTCCAGAACATGTAATTGTGCTCATGCAGAACCTGTTCATGGATCAAGAGGTAGCTGTGAGAACAGAGCACAGGAATACTACATGGTTTAAAACCAGGAAAGGTGTGTGTTAGGGTTGCGTCTTTCTACCATACATACCTATTCAATCTGTATGTTCAGCAAATAATCAGAGAGTGGATTATATGAAGAAGAATGGGGCATCAGGATTGGAGGAAGACTTATTAACAACCTATGATATACAAATGATACAACCTTGTTTGAAGAGAACTTGAAGCACTTGCTTATGAAGATCAAGGATTGCAGCCTTCAGTATGAATTAACTCAGTTTAACGGAAACAAAAATCCTCATAACTGGACCAAAAGGTAACATCATCACAAATGTAGAAAAGATTGAAGTTGTCAAGGATTTTGCCTTGCTTGGATTCACAATCATTATTCATGGACGCGGCAGTGAAGAGATCAAAGGACACATTGCATTGGGTAAATCTGCTGCACAGTCCCTCAAAGTGTTGAAAAGAAAGGATGTTACTTTGAGGACTATGGTAGACCTGACCCAAGCCATGGTGTTTTCAGTTTCCTCACATGCATGTGAAAGTTGGACACTGAATAAGGAAGACAAAGGAAGAATCAATGCATCTTAACTATGGTGTTGGCAAAGAATATTGAAAGTACGCTGGACTGCCAAAATCACAAACAGATCTATCTTGGAAGTTCGGCCAGAATGCTCGTTAGCACCAAGGATGGTGAGACATTGTCTCACTTACTCTGGGCATGTTATCAGGAGAGACCAATCACTGGAGAAGGAGATCATGTTTGCTAACGTGGAGGGGCGGTGAAAAAAGGGGAAGGCCCTCAACAACACACAAGTGGCTACAATAATGGGCTCAAACATAAGAACAATTGTGAGGAAGGCACAGGACTGGGTGGTGTTTCATTCTGCTGGGCATGAGGGTCACTGTGAGGCAGAATTGACTTGACGGCACCTAATCACAACAATTCTGAATCATGCTTGGTAAAGGGTCAGCCAAAAAAAGAGGAGGATCCTCAATGAGATGGCTTAACCCAGTGGCTGCAATAATACACTTAAACAACATGATTGTGAGATAACTCAGGATCGGGCGGTGTTTCATCCTGTTGCACATCAGGTCGCTCTGAATTGGAACTGCACCTAACGACACCTAACCACAGCGTATCTGAATCAGGGTCCTTGGATGGAGCAAGCACTCTGGCTGCCAACTGAGAGATTGGATGGAGGTTGTGGTCTACCCAGAGACATTCAGGGGAGCGGTCTCGTCCACTTCTGGGAAATCAGCCATTTAGAACCCTACAGAACACAGCCTTACTCTGACAAATGTGGGTTCTCCAGGAGGTGGCTGCTGGTTGTCATCTTTGTGAATCACCACTCTAGGCCAGGAAGCAGACACAATCCATGTCTTCAGAAGTGGATATTCTTCTGGGGAAGATAAACATGAAACTATAAAGTTAGGAAGTGATAAGTGACTTAACTAAAAAAGAAGCTAAGGGGGATGAGAACTGTAGAGATGTGGGTGGGTGGGTAGGAGACTATCATAGAGACAGCATTAATGATAAAGTAACATTTGATCAGAGCCCAAAAAGAAATGAGAGAAGGCATATACTGTAGGGCAGAATATTCTTCCAGGCAGAGGGAAAACCAAGTGCAAACCCCTGTAGGTTAGGCTACTGTTGACATTTTTTCAGGACGGTAAGGCTGGAGTAACACGAACCAGAGAGTGGCTGGAAGTGAGCACAGTAAAGTAGAAAGAAACCAATCGTATAGGGACCTATAGGCCATAGTGGTCCTTCGTTAGGTTACTCTGCATGAGATGAGAGTCCGCTGGGAAGTTTGGGCAATGGCGGATGATTGTGGCTGCTGTGGAGGTGGGGGGCTGGAGGCAGTAAGGGAGCAAAGGTAGACATAAGAAGGCCGGTGAGGCACCAGCTGTGATAACCCTGGTGACAGGGTATGTTGGGTCAGAATGGCCCCAGTGGAGGTGGTGAGAAGACATTCGATTCTGGAGCTAACGGTGAAACCCTGAGAGCCCAACCTGGATGGCACAGCCTTGCCTTATTCCAGTCTGAAAAGCGCTGTGCCTTTGACAGGTATATCTTACTTCTTTCCTTTTGCACTGTTTAGTCGGAACTCTGAGATTTCCTGTCTCTCTGTTTTGTGGGAAATATTTGAGGTTTCTTTCTTACACAGGTTGCAGCATTTGCAGGTTTCACTGGCTTTTGGAGGAAGAAGTCAAAGGATTTGCTGGTTGAGTATAAGGGTTGAACGAAAAGTAAGTTAAGTTGGCCTGAAGCATTTCAGCATAAGCAACAGTAAGAATGGAGTTTCCATTAGCTGAATTGAAGAAAGAGCCTGTTTGCAAAGTTAAGAGCTGGAGTTTGGATTTGTCCATGTGCAATTGAAACGGTCTACCCAAGAACAAGGGAGTTTGGGTGGGTTCTGAGTGGGCTGTTAATTGCAAGGTCAGCAGGTCAACTCCACCAAGTCTGTTCTTGGGGAGAAAGATGAGGCTTTTTGCTCCGTAAAGATTTACAGACCTGGAAGCCCAAAGGGGCAGTTTTGCTCCATCCTCTAGGGCAAGAGTGTCAAACTGGCGGCCCATGGGCCACATGAGGCCCCCAGAGGTAATTTTTTGTGGCCCACAATGCTCTGAAAAAATGTAAGGAGGGAATTGTGTGTACGGTATTGCCTCGATCTCCCCTAAGCGCTGTTTTCTTCAAAACAATTTTTTTTCTATTTTCATTTTATTTTAGAGCATTGTGGGCCACAAAAAAATTACCTCGAGGGCTGGATGTGAGGGGGGTGGGCAATTTGACACCCCTGCTCTAGGGCGGTGTTTTTGACCTGTGGGTCGTGCAACCCCTTTGGTGGTCGAACGACCCTTTCACTGAGGTCGCCTAAAATCATCAGAAAACATATTTACAGTGGTCTTAGAAACGGAGTCACCACTCCTCTATCCATCTCCAGGTGGCTCCGCCGACATGCAGATACGCCCGCATACGAGTTCTGGGCTTGAAGACTGTTACCCATGCTATACTATGCTTCAAGACAAAATTTCATTATTTTTAATTAGAAATCAATATTTCACGATACATAATTACATATTGGTTTTGTGATTAATCACTTTGCGATAATTATGTTCAATTTGTAACAATGAAAATACATCCTGCCTATCAGATATTTACATTGCAATTCAAAGCTAGCAAAATTTCAGTTATGAAGTAGCACTGAAAATAATGTTATGGTTGGGGGGGAATGACCACAACCTGAGGAACTGTGTAAAAGGGTCGAGGCATTAGGAAGGTTGAGAACCACTGCTCGAGCGTCACAATGAGTCAGAATAAACTTGATGACAGTGAGTTGTTTGTTTGTTTGTTTGTTTGTTTGGAGGGAGGTGATTCCTGACATAAATAAGTCTAATAGAGATTGAATACCTGTTCTTTGTTTCTGTTTTCATTATTACTGTCTTATTGTTAGTTATAGCAATGAAAACATTTATAAATCAATGTTTTGTCTTTGGAGTTAGAAGTACAATATATAAGCTTACAGATAGATGTTAATATATACATACATACAACTTGACAGTAAAGAAGAGTTGGAGAACCTTGGCCTTCTGTCGGTGCAGTGGTAATTCTACCTGTAGAAGGTTCTGGATCATCTGGATTATCCCTGGGGATAGGGATGGCATTTCTAGTCAGAAAATGAGTGTGCATCATCCATTTGAGCCTTTTCTTTTATCACGTATTTCGCAGCAACATCTCAATGACTTCCCTAATCTGCCTATCAACCTTAGCAAAGACGCCTGCATTTGGGTCTATGTTTTCATGCCATGGAAGCCTCTGATGTAGTTGAGAAAATGCTATGGCAGTGTTGTGAATTGTTGCTGCTGTTAGGTGACATAGAGCAGGTTCCAGCTCATAGCAAAAGAGCAAGCACGACCCGGTCCTGGACGTTCTCACAGTGGTGGTTATGTTTGAGCCCTTTGGTGCAGCCACTGTGTCCACCCATCTTGCGGAGGGTCTTCCTCTTTCAGTGTTCTTCTAATGTGTGGGTAGCAGATCATATCACAAAAGTGAACAGCAGCCTCCGGCTAGACCTGAGCATGTGCATGGGTGCAGTTAAGACCTGGAAACAAAGGGAATCCAGGACAGATAACCCCTAAGGACCAATAATGAGAGTAGCAATGCCAGGAGGGGAAAGTGAGGGGGGTGGGTAAGGGGGAATAGATCACAATGATCTACATATAACCCCTTCCTAGGGGGATGGACAACAGAAAAGTTGGTGAAGGGAGACAGTGGTCGGTGTAAGACGTGAAAAATAATAATATATAAATTGCCAAGGAGAGGGGGAGGGGGAAAATGTGCTTGACGCAGTGGATGATGTATGGATTGTGATAGCTGTATGAGCCCCCAATCAAATGATTAAAAAAAAAAGTGGTAGCAAGTGAACATCTGAGAACTACAACAACAGCCAAGTACAGGCTGCAACATTGTATGCAGTGCATCCTTAACACCATAGGTTAAAAAACAAAGTGCTGCTCCTCACCTCACTGGAAGAATGTATCCTAAAGCCAGGGACTACATGTATTGATGTCTACAAGCCAGTTGGCTCTTTAAGTGTGGGGCGCAAGAGAAAGGTCTGGCCTAGAGCTGTAAATGTAGGTGGGAGTCCTAGGGAGAGGAGTATTCGAGAGACTATTCAGAGTCAGAACTCCACAGGATGGTCTGGTCTTTCCAGCTCTCATCAGGTTTCCGCCTTTATAGGGTAGTCTTATTATTTTGCTTTCGCTTTGTGTTAGTGGGAAATATTTGCGTTTTCCCCTCTCTGACCAGTTTCCACCTTCCACAGGTTCCAGCTTTTGTAGCTTTTACTGCATAGAACGCATGAGTGGCCGAGTCTTAGGACACTTCAGATGAACCATCTGAAAGATGATTTGTCTCCTTTAACCTGTTGATGTTCATTTTGTTGTTGGTGGTTGCCTTGAGTTGATTCTGACTTACGGAGACCTCTGTGTTACAGAGTAGGACTGCTCTATAGGATGTCCTTGGCTGCAATCCTCAAGGAAGCAGGTTGCCAGGCCCTTTCTTCTGTGGTACAGGGGGGCAGGTTCACACAACCAACCTTTAGTTTAGCAGTTGAGCACAAACCATTTGCACTACTGCCATTGAGTAGATTCCAACTCACAGGGACCCTATAGGACAGGTTAGAACTGCTCTTACGGGTTTCCAAGACTAAGTCTTCACAAAGGAGTAGAAATCCCTGTCTTTCCCCCACATAGCAGCAATTGGTTTCAAACTGCTGACCTTACATTTAGCAGCCCAACTCAAAACCACTACGGCATCAGGGATCTTTTAATATTAATTCCATTGATTTTCCCCAAAAAATATTAAGCCAGTCCTCACATGCATTCCTTTGTCATGTTGTATGCCTTTAAAAATTTTTTTTTGCTGGATGATATTTCATGTAGAGTTTTTGTGTCCATGTTCAACAGAGATATTGGTCTGTATTGTTGGGAGCCATTGATTCTGTGGCTGCTCAAGTCCCCTAGGGGCTAATCTTGTGTGAGAGTCGATCTCCCGGTCTCCTCTCCTGCAGTTCCATCCAGTCACCAGTCTCTTGCGTAACAGCGAAATCTTCAACCATTGCACTGCCAAGGCTCAGCTTTTGGCGTGTAGGGGTTTTTTGTTTGGGGCCACATCTAGCTTTGGCATCAGCGTCATGGTAGCTTCATAAACTGAGTGTAAGGCATTCCATTTTCTTCAGTTTTCTAGACGAGATTGAGAATTGGCTTTAATTCTTTAAATGTTGGATAGAATTTTCCTTTGAAATCGTCTGTGCCATGAGATTTCTAATCTTTCTGGTTGTCTTGTCTGGACTTTCTGAACGGCAGGTCCAACCTCCTGAATAGTTCGAGGGAGTTTCTGGGTGATGTAAACAGTAAAGAGACTCCGCTCCTAACTTGAAAGTTAGAGATTTGAGTCCACCCAGAGGAGCCTCAGAAGAACGGCCTGTGAGTCTGCCTCTGGAGCCTCAACCATGGAACACACCGTGGACCGCAGTGACACGCATACGTCACCACGAGTCCAGATGGACCTGCAGCACCTGGCACTGGCAATCGTTACATGGGTGTTCAAACAATCTATTTCATATTACATATTCAAAGAATTTGCCCATTTTCTGTGTCTCTAAGTGGCCAAATTTATGTGGATGTAGTTATAGCATTCCCTCAGCCTTTAGGCATCTGACAAAGTCTTGCTACCCCTTTTATTTCTGAGGTTCTTGGTATAGGAATCTGGGTCGACAGTTCCTTTTTCTAAGTACCTGAAAAATCTTGAGCCACTTTCTGCTGGCCTCCGTGGTTTCTAATAATAAATCCACTGTCGTTCAAATTGTTCGACCCCTGACTAGACAAGATGTCATTTTTCTCTGGCTGCTTTCAAATGTTTCTCGTTGTTGTTCATAGTCGGAAATTTAATTATGTGTTGTCTTGATGTTGCTTCCTCTGGGTTCATCGTGGTTGGGGTTCACTAAGCTTGACGATTCCATAAGTTTAGGTCTCGATTCCATAAGTTTAGGTCTTCCAAATTTGGGGGATTGTTGACCATTTTTTCTTCAAGTGCTCTTTTCAGCCATGCCTTATTCCTCCTCGTCTCTCCTTGGAATGCTTAGATCTTTGTTTCAGGCGCACAGCCTTTGAGACTCAGCTTTTGTTCTGTTTTTCAGCTTAGATTCCCTCGAGTGTGCCTTCAGATCGAGTCGCCTCTGCTGTCCCATCCATTGGGTCACAGCCCCTTTGCTCTGTCCCTTCCTTTCTGCTTTGGAGCCCATCACAGAAGACTGCACTCTTCAGCCCTAAACTGCTTCAGGGACTTTGCCCAGTCTTCCAGTTCTCGGCTGGCGGAGGCTTAGTATTCCTTGTTGGTTACACGTGTGTGCGTGACTGCTCCCGAAGCATTTTAATCATGGCTACTTTAGTATCTTTGTCAGATAATTCCATCACTCTGGCATCTTGGTCTTGACATCTATTGATTGTTCTTTTTTTTTTTTTCCCATCCCACTTAGGATCTTTTTGATTCTTGGTATAATGAGT